GTGTCGGGATAAAACTAGTTAAATGACTGCAGCATGGTGAACAGTCTGTAAGCTCAGTTGGAAGTATATTCTAATTGCTGATGACTTTAACTGAAACAGACACTTGTGTAAAAGCATTGGGATCTTTAGGTTCAGCGCAGATCTTGAGGTTTTGCCCATTTGCTCAGAAAAAACGTGTAGGCAGTCGCTCAATGACGGCTTGTTTCTCTGCTGTGCACAACTCTCCAATAAAGTGAGTACTCCGCTATAAAACCCGCACATAAGAGCAAGCGTTGTAAATAAATTGATGCTCACACGTATCACTTCGTCGCACCCTACCTCCCTGCAGCTCAGGGTCTATAATTTGATATGACTGGGTCTTGATTGCTATTTACTGTGTTGTCAAGGTGAGCCAGGGACTCAGGTTTGTGGGTAAACAGAGTGTCTGTCACAGCTCCACTGAGTCGGCTCTTGACTTTATATCCACTCGCTGTTTCTTTCCTCAAAAGATTGCAGTTGTCAGAGTTGTATAGTTCTCTGGACACAGCGGTGACAGAACAGGAAACTGCATCACTGACAGTAAATCATGTCTGGGACCTTTTTTGAATTTTGATTGGAAATAGCAAAGTAGCCCGGTTGACAGGAATGTGTTTTATGACACAATGCGTCGGACCAAGAAGAGAAATAACACTACTTTAAACAGCTCAAAATGCGGACCACAGGCCAATGGTGAGTAATGGATGCCTTGCAGTGAGGCGGTCATTTATGACGTGAAGCTTATTACAGTTACACTAATTAACCAGCGACTTCACTCATAACAGTGATTACAAATGACTTGGCAGAACTAATGGAGGTTTTCTGTAACTTCTCAAGTCTGTTCACGTCTTTAAACACTGCCATAGTCCATCCATGTTCCTGTTAGTGTTTTACTTCCTGTCTGTCTTCTTCTGCTGTTCCCTTTAGTGTTTTACTTCCTGTGTGTCTTCTTCTGCTGTTCCCTTTAGTGTGTACTTCCTGTGTGTCTTCTTCTGCTGTTCCCTTTAATGTTTACTTCCTGTCTGTCTTATTATGCTGTTCCCTTTAGTGTTTACTTCCTGTCTGTCTTATTATGCTGTGCCCTTTAGTGCTTACTTCCTGTCTGTCTTCTTCTGCAGATTTCACTGACGTCCATCACTCTCTCTTTAAACCTTCTTACTTCTCTTGCACTCTTTTTTCTTTTCTTTACTGGTGACAGTTTGGCCATCTTGAATTCAAAGTGTTATGTTCTCTATAAATACAAAAATGATATTCAAAACAATGTACAATCATTGCATAGAAAGTTATAACGAGTGAAGGGTAGACATCCTACTGAACTACTGAAAAGAGAGATTACTCAAGAAGGATTCTGGTACTATTCCCAGCTTTTTAGTGCAATGAAATGGTATGAAACTCCATCTGGTCAGACTTCAGTGGCAGATCAATGATTCCTCCGGGACGCCTGGCCTCCCTCCAAACCCCCCAAACTCGAAACTACACAAAAAGCTCCCTTTTGATTCTTTGCAAGATGAAGGCTTTTGGAGAAGTGAAGGGGAAATTGGACTTCTTGACTTCAGAGCATCTAAAAAAATTGCATTTATGTTACCTGAGTGATGAAAAGGCCCAACGGCCTCGGAAAGGTTTTTTTTATCTTCCGAGACGTTGCTTCTGCACAGAATGGAATTGGAACAGGAAGTGGGCATTTTCCCTCCGAAACGTCTATCTGAGAGCAAAGTTCCTCTCTATTAAACCAACTTTGATTTATTCAGGTGAAATGGGAAAATGAAATGAGCCAAGCTTCTGCTATTTCTCCATTCTTTTCATCTTTCTTTTTTTCTTCACAACTTTTTTTAGTAGTAATATGGTTCATACAGAAGGTACATTTCGTCAAGCACTACGCATCGCCACTGGGTCTAATTCAGACTGTGACTAAAGACCGGATGGTTTTTTAACTTGTGACTTTTCTATTCCTCAAGTTACTCCAGTTTGATATGAGAGGACTGTTGAACAATAATATCCATACTAACCTCAGAATCAACTTTACATACATGGATTCAGATCTTAAAGTCCCTTTGTCTGTATTTAATGCAAACTTCAAGTACTTTTATAACATTAGATTGGTAATTCCCAAATTATAGTTTAACATTAAAGGAACTTGTTGTCACTATCTAGATGATACATTGATAGCAGTCTCATGGTAGAATGTAGTATTTAACATGACCAATACAATTGTTAAAGCCAAAAATATTACATTTACGGTTTGATTAAACTACTAGTTATTTAGTGCTAAATTATATTAAAATGACTTGAAAACTTTTTTTTTTTCTGCTCCTAAAAACTAACAAGTAAATCATACAGTGCAGATATGTTAGGGTCATAAACAAAAGCAGAATAATTGATAAAAAGTTAAAGTTTTTGAATGAAAATGACTCTTAAAGCAGTGTCTGTATGTCTATGATATTATGTTCCATTATAATTCACGTTCTAATAAATGTTCTTTGTGAATAACTGTGAAAGAACCAAATAAACTATGCACCCTCAACATCAATATTACTGACATTATTCACACTTTTTATGTCCTTAAACCTTAATATAAGGACATTAAATTCAGTTTATGATCCGACCAACCCACCGATAAAGTTTTCTGAAGTGCAAGAATTTTGAAATGAGCGAATAAACCATCTGTTTCCTATTATTTCCAACCGTTACCCCGAGCTAAGCTAATCAGCTGCTGATACAGGCCTAATATTACTCATCTGAATCTCACAAGAAGAGATTTCAAAGTGTAAATCCTGAATGTATAGACAACAATTGGTAAAGGCAATCCAATAATTTATCTCAGGACATTTCTCGGGTTCTGCTCTTGCCCTACATATTCAACTTGTAGGACTCGTCTCAACAATAGCCTAAAGTAAACCAGAACTGACATGTGTATTGTATATTTGTTCTTGTATATTGTGAATTACAATGTGTTTCTATTTGTATGACCTGTCTAGAGACTAAGGACTAAATCAGTATTTTTGATAACTTCAGCATATTTTAGGTCATGTATGTTATACTGATGTTCAATAAGAGGCACTGTCCCACCAAAATAAACAAAATAATAACATAGATATCGAGCACTATAGCCACAGCTGCATCACACACATCGGCAAGAAATGCAATTTAACTTCAAAAGACATACAACAACAACCAAAAAATCATACATTTAAGGAAGGAGAGAGAAAAATACACTAATTTGTTATCTACAAAATCTACAGGCCCGTGTCCACAAAGCATCTTTTTCTTCATTGATTTCAATTGATTATAATGAGAACAGAGAAGCTTCCTTCAGAAAGAGCACCAAACCCAATGCCCCGCCTTCTTTGTGCGCTTCGCAATGAGAATAATTAGACATGTCAGAAAAATGCCGATGAGGTCACTTTAGAAATTGCATGAAAGCTTGCTTTGTCTGAGTCTGTCAGGCGGAAACAATAAGAACAAACACAGAAAAGCCTGTTTTTTGGAGCAGATTGGACCAGATGTTTCCATCGGTAAGTGTACAACTTGTATCATCCTCCTCCCATGCTGTCAGACTGAGTCAAGCCCATTAGTACCATGTGTAAAGGATAGACCATCCAGTTGGTGCTCATAGTCAAAAGAATGTTTTAAACAAATGTACAGAATGATATGAAATAAATCCGTACCGTGATAAAGACCCTGAGAACACGATGGCATGGAATTGTTCTGAGGGTTATTTAAAGGGGACCTATAATGCAAAATGCACTTTTGTACGTCTTTTCTACATGAACATGTGTCCCCGGTGTTCCAGGGAACTCACCAAGTGTCAGAAAACACAACCCTCTCTATTTTCCTCCATACCCAAATCTCTTAAAAAGGGGCTGCAACGGATCTGATACAGACTGATCCAGATTTGAACACTTCTATGACGTCACAGAAGTGGCGCTACGGCTATTGGGCCAACTCCACCAATCAGGAGGAGACAGCCACGGACATTGCCGTTGGAAAGCGCTGGAGACGCTGTAGTACATATGCCAGGCCTGTAGATGGTGCTGTTCTCACAGAATCAGCCCATGCAAAGACAGTGTTAAATTGAGCGAAATGAGGAATGGCTAAAATGCATGATCTGTTTGGTATTTTGAAAAATAAAAAGTATAAATATGCCTTATATAGGTATGGTCCTACACTATATTAATTAAATATAGCATGATAGGCCCACTTTAAGTAAAGCACACATAAGTCAAAAAAGTACAAAGGTTGAGTTACTTTCAACCACTGCTTTTTTGTAGTGTGTGTGACCCACAGGAAGTCGTCTGAAAGGCTTTTTAACGGCATTGTAAAGCTCTGCTGTTGTGTGTTTTATTTTTGTTCAGATCACCACTTTTGTTCTCGCCACAATGCACGAACACTTTTATGAGTGGCAGTAGAATACTAATGTTCCTGTGAATTGTGTTTCCGTAGCAATGGAGTGCATGTGTAATTATACCTCACACAGATTATCTTCTCTCCAGTGCCTAATCTGTGAATAGAAGTCACACACACACACACACACACACACACACACACACACACACACACACACACACACACACACACACACACACACACACACACACACACACACACACACACACACACACACAGGGCACAAACAACTCTTTTTGACTAGTTGGTTGCCAGGAAACTTCGCCTGAGTCTTTGAGAGTGAGGGATAATAAAATAAATGTGTGTGTGTGTGTGTGTGTGGGTGGTGTGTGTGTGTGTGTGTGTGTGTGTGTGCATGGCCTCTGCCACTGTCTGGGCTGCTGGGGGCAGTTGGTTAACTCTATGGGTGTGTGTGTAAGCGTTGATTGCTTCTCGCTGGCTTTAGACAAAACTCCGGACACACAAAGACTCTCCTACGGTCCGGACCCAGTCTCGGCCAGCCTCGACCAATCAGAAACCGGGGATTTGTTTGAAATGTCATAGAATTAAGAAAGGATGTTTTAACACCTCAGAGCTGGGGGAAGTTTTTCCTGGACACCCGTTGTGGACCGAGAGGGTGAAATTGGTCGTCTTGGTAAATTTGGATTTTCTTTACTCTCTCTTCAGCTTCAAGATAAGATAAGATTTTGTAGTTTGTGTCTGTTGTGTTTTGTTTTATATTATATTATATTATATATATATATATATATATATTGTAATGGGGAAAATATGACAGCATTTTACTCTGAGATATAAAAGTATAAAGTGGCAGATAATGGGAATACTTAAGTACTTACGTAAGTAAGTATAAGTATAAGTACTTACAGGTACCATAAAATGATAGTTAAGTACAGTAATTGAGTTAATTCACTTTGTTACTTTCCACCACTGCACATTTACAGATATTAGAGAAGATATTGAAGGGCCGCATTACAGTATGCTTTTTGGGGGTTTCTCTTTCCTATAGTGTCTAATATAGGCTTTTGTGAATGTAAATGGTCTGCAAATGCTAAAATCCTGAATATCCCTCCAGAGGGAGTGTCTCACCCACACTCTCCCCCCTTGCCTAAAATGCCTACATTGTTTACTTCCTGAACATAGTGACATCACTATGTAACATTCACACTTCTATTGGCTAGCCTCCAACACATTTTATATGATCAGATCAGATTTACTCACAACTGTTTCCACTTGGGCTTTAATACAGCTACACCATTGTTTGGTTTCCATGGTAGCTTGTCTCTTTAGTAGCGCGCGCAACTGAATGTCTGAGAGGGTGTTCAGCATGGTGAGGAAGATAGTCACAGAAAACAGAACAAGAATGGAAAACTCTACCCTCTGCTCACTCCTTTCCTGTAAAATACAGGCCCAGCCCACACCTACAGTATGCAACTACAATAAGCATGTGTAGATGTTCTTTTCATCTTTAAAAGGCAGTTGCCCCGCTGCGATGCTCCGGGCGCTAACAGTTCTAACATCTCCGGCGATCCACCCCCCCCTCGCGGTGGTTTTGAAATGCTCCCGATTTCTGAGGTCTCAATGTTGGCAAGTATGCAGGCAGATAAATAAAGAGCTTTTGAACATTAAAGCATGGAGACATGTCACAGTAGAGAAACAAAATACTAATATGAACCTGACAATTAGCATAATCTGTCCTCTTTAAAATGTATACCTGCAAATGAGTGAAATATATAAAGCAACATCTATTTCCTGATCCATAACCTGCTAGTCTGAAGCATTTGTACACACTGTGAGGGCTGAAAAGATACAGCTACTTGACAGTGATGTTGAGAGGCCAGAAGCCCATCATTGCAGCTTTTTGGACAGTTTGACTGCAGTGGATGATTCTTTGTGCAACTTTAATAAACCCTAGACAGAAATCCAGAAGTGACAGTTTGGATAGAGTTGACTGGACGTCAAGGAGATAGCTTATGTAAGTCTGTTTTATTTGCTAACTGTCTTCAACCTATTGTGTTCTTTCCCCCCGTTGGGTAAAGTACACACAACAAAACAGCAGTTGCATGTAAATGACAGTAAGCAGCATTTATATTAATACCAGGGTTGAGAGGGTTATTTTAAAAATGTAGTGTAAATGAAGAAATACCGACTTGTTCTGTGACAAGCAGCTGGCATCAGTCTTTATCTGAATATAAACATATCTGTTGCTGCATGTCTTACATTTGCTGACACTGCAAATAATCAGGATCCTACTGCAGATAATCAGCAGTGTAAAAAAGATAATAGCAGCAGCAAAGCGTTGTTTTTTCCTTTCACTACACACCCTGTCATCTAAATCTCCGCTCAGTTTGATGCCACTTCCAGTGAATTTGTCTCGTAAACGTTTTTGTCGGGCTGAAAATAAAAAAGGACAGATTGCCGCCCCCCCTTCGTGTTTCCCTTTTGTTCAAAGAAACTTTTTCATCATCTCACTTTTATCTCTCAGACCTCAAACAGGATTTAATCACCACACACTCACTCACTCACTCACACACACACACACACACACACACACACACACACACACACACACACACACACACACACACACACACACACACACACACACACACACACACACACACACACACACACACACACACACACACACACGGGCTAATTTAGCACATCCTAACTTTTATTCCTGCTGCTTCTCTCCCTGACACCAGTATTCTATTTCACATTACCTGACATAACAGAGACTTGACATGCTTTGGCAATCTGCCTCCTCCTCTTCGGGAGAACTCACTCACCCCTCTTTGAAAGCCACTGAGCTGAGGGGAAATGTATGTTGAGAATGAAAAGACCTTATTCAACACAGACATGTTTGAGTGAAAAAGAGCCAACAAAAGAGCTGCTGCCGCTGAGCCGCATGATTATGGTGACATGACAACCCGCTGAGAAACAGCTATAGACGGTATAGGAGAGGTATGGGATAACTCCAGCAGGGAACATCTTCTTTCATCGTGTTACACCTCGAGATGCGGGGAATCTATTATTTTCTATTGAGTCCTTTATTACTGTCCTTGTTTGGTGTGTTGGCGATTGATTGACAGGTCTGAGGTGTAACCATGGGAACGAGGATGGAGGTGGCACAGCTTGAGGAAAGGATGAACATTGAGGACTACAGAAAGCTACAGGGCCTTTTCCTGGTGAGGGTTATTATGTCAGCTTTAAAGACTTATTATGCTCTTGTATATGGTGGCCTACAGGTGCAAACACACAACAACGGCACAAAACATTTCCATTAGGAGAAGCGCACATGCAAATGAAGAAACATCTTCACCAACTTGACGAAACATGCTCAGCGTTGATCTGCTATAAGCTAACTAGCTTATGTGGCTAATCCTCAACAAGCGCTTCGTTCCAAGCTGTGCGCATCACTATGTAGCGTCCCCGTTTCCGTTATATTTTAAGCTTCTTGCATGTTTTAGTATTTGCAGTGTTTCATTTTTGCTGCGCTTTTAGTCATCGTTTTTGAAAGTGCAGTCGTTTTCAACTATTGGAAGTGTTTTTGCACCTGTCGGCCACCGTATTTAACTCATGCAGAAAATACTTAAAGGTGGGGTAGATAAGTTTGAGAAACCGGCTCGAGATACACTTTTTGTTATATTCCATGGAATGCTCTTAACATCCCGATAGCAATGAATATCTGAAGTGCTTTGACAAAAAATCCATAAAAAAATTTCATCTGTGGAAGCCGTGGCGCTGTAAAAAGCACGACCAATCATCTGAGCCGGGTCGGCTAAAATAACTGGATGGCCTACCTGCCTGTCAGCCTTCCATCTGTGCACAAACTTATCTCGTGCCCTCATTGGTCATGTGCGCATTCGTGTGTGTTGGAGGAGGGGCTCTGTAAGGAAGTGGCAGATTTTTTCCGGTTGTGTATTTTCAAATTCTAGCGCACTCGAGCTGGTTTCTCCAAAATTACATACCCCACCTTTAAAGAAGAGTGTTATAATGTATACTATATATCTGCTTACTACATTACCTCAAGGTCTCATATGACATTTTGTACAAACAAGAGAAGAGCTTGTTGTGTTCGAATGCTAACAAGAGTTTTGTATATGATTGTGTGAAGACATCATGCAATATCTCCAGTGGTGAAGTAAAATGTATGTTTAAATCTCATCCCACCACTAATCGGCTCCTCTCTGTTCAGGACTCCTCGGGCTCTCCTCGCCCTTTGTCCAGAACTGAATTTGTCGATCTGGCTTGGTCATCGGTCGGTCGTGGCTCTAAAGAGGAATACGGCCTCCTGTTTGACAGCGTGGTCTTCACTCAGGAGCACGGCAGCCTCCTTCTGGACGTCGATGCGATAAAGGAAGAGGAACGCGTCGATTGGGGAGGCCTGTCATCCTTTTTGCTACAAGAGCTTTCTGATAAAGTGAAGAACAGCAGAACCAGAAGTGGGCCTCGCTGGAAGCCAGTGCGCACTTTGACCTGTCCGCATCGAGACCCGGTTCAAAAGGTAAGAGGTCACTGATGAGATTAGTTTGTTACGCTGCAATAGATAAAAAAATGGGCAACATGTGATAATCCTCGTGTTATCTGAAAAACATTCAGACAATGAGTGACTGGAGAATCCAACGTTTTGCTGACTGGGTGAAAATCCCCATTATTAAACATTGTGCGAGAAAGGTATTAGGGTCTTGCTCATCAAAATGGCCCACCTTTTTTTGAGATAAATGGCTCTGGACTCCTTTAAGTTTAATATCTATCAATTAATATGGAAATGAAGCAGGCCGGTAAAAAGCGCCGACTGCTGTGGATAAAGTGATGGCTCACCACTTTAATCTTTGAATCCTGAGAATGTCAAAATGTCACAATGTTGTGTAAGTTGTTTTTCAAATGGTTTGAAGGTTTTGACCCCTCTAACTCGGACCAGTTTCTAAAGAAGTGGACTCACTTATTGGGCTTAAAGGACTCTTCAGTATGTTGTGTCAGTAAAGCGTGGCACAACAGGAGCAGGGTAGTGCAAAACATATTTACGGTTGCACTCATTCATATTTTTGTATATAACATGTAATGCCCCTTTCACACCAATGCGGTTCCAGGGCCGGTTCGGAGCTGGAGCTTGAAAAGCACCGGTTTTTCCTGTTCACACCGCAGCGGAGCCGCCTCTAAGCTCCGGAATCCGGTTCGTTTCAAGCACCAAAAAGTTGTTGGTCTAGAAAGCAAGAACCGCACGTCGGAAGATCTGGGCTGTGTCCAAATAACACGCGACATCCGCCTTT